GAACGTGCATGAGAACGTGCATGAGAACGTCGTGCATGAGAACGTGCACGAGAACGTGCACGAGAACGTCGTGCATGAGAACGTGCATGAGAACGTGCACGAGAACGTCGTGCATGAGAACGTGCATGAGAATGTGCATGAGAACGTGCATGAGAACGTGCATGAGAACGTGCATGAGAACGTGCATGAGAACGTGCACGAGAACGTGCACGAGAACGTCGTGCATGAGAACGTGCATGAGAACGTGCACGAGAACGTCGTGCATGAGAACGTGCATGAGAACGTGCATGAGAACGTGCATGAGAACGTGCATGAGAACGTGCATGAGAACGTGCATGAGAACGTGCATGAGAACGTGCATGAGAACGTGCATGAGAACGTGCACGAGAACGTGCACGAGAACGTCGTGCATGAGAACGTGCATGAGAACGTGCACGAGAACGTCGTGCATGAGAACGTGCATGAGAACGTGCATGAGAACGTGCATGAGAACGTGCATGAGAACGTGCATGAGAACGTGCATGAGAACGTGCATGAGAACGTGCACGAGAACGTGCACGAGAACGTCGTGCATGAGAACGTGCATGAGAACGTGCACGAGAACGTCGTGCATGAGAACGTGCATGAGAACGTGCATGAGAACGTGCATGAGAACGTGCACGAGAACGTGCACGAGAACGTGCACGAGAACGTGCACGAGAACGTCGTGCATGAGAACGTGCATGAGAACGTGCACGAGAACGTCGTGCATGAGAACGTGCATGAGAACGTGCATGAGAACGTGCATGAGAACGTGCATGAGAACGTGCATGAGAACGTGCATGAGAACGTGCATGAGAACGTGCATGAGAACGTGCATGAGAACGTGCATGAGAACGTGCATGAGAACGTGCATGAGAACGTGCATGAGAACGTGCACGAGAACGTGCACGAGAACATCGTGCATGAGAACGTGCATGAGAACGTGCACGAGAACGTCGTGCATGAGAACGTGCATGAGAACGTGCATGAGAACGTGCATGAGAACGTGCATGAGAACGTGCATGAGAACGTGCATGAGAACGTGCATGAGAACGTGCATGAGAACGTGCACGAGAACGTGCACGAGAACGTGCACGAGAACGTCGTGCATGAGAACGTGCATGAGAACGTGCACGAGAACGTCGTGCATGAGAACGTGCATGAGAACGTGCATGAGAACGTGCATGAGAACGTGCATGAGAACGTGCATGAGAACGTGCATGAGAACGTGCATGAGAACGTGCACGAGAACGTGCACGAGAACGTCGTGCATGAGAACGTGCATGAGAACGTGCACGAGAACGTCGTGCATGAGAACGTGCATGAGAACGTGCATGAGAACGTGCATGAGAACGTGCATGAGAACGTGCATGAGAACGTGCTTGAGAACGTGCTTGAGAACGTGCATGAGAACGTGCATGAGAACGTGCATGAGAACGTGCATGAGAACGTGCATGAGAACGTGCATGAGAACGTGCATGAGAACGTGCATGAGAACGTGCATGAGAACGTGCATGAGAACGTGCATGAGAACGTGCATGAGAACGTGCACGAGAACGTGCATGAGAACGTGCACGAGAACGTGCATGAGAACGTGCACGAGAACGTGCATGAGAACGTGCACGAGAACGTGCACGAGAACGTGCACGAGAACGTGCACGAGAACGTGCACGAGAACGTGCACGAGAACGTGCATGAGAACGTGCATGAGAACGTGCACGAGAACGTGCACGAGAACGTGCACGAGAACGTGCACGAGAACGTGCACGAGAACGTGCACGAGAACGTGCACGAGAACGTGCATGAGAACGTGCATGAGAACGTGCATGAGAACGTGCATGAGAACGTGCATGAGAACGTGCACGAGAACGTGCACGAGAACGTGCACGAGAACGTGCACGAGAACGTGCACGAGAACGTGCACGAGAACGTGCATGAGAACGTGCACGAGAACGTGCATGAGAACGTGCACGAGAACGTGCACGAGAACGTGCACGAGAACGTGCACGAGAACGTGCATGAGAACGTGCATGAGAACGTGCATGAGAACGTGCATGAGAACGTGCACGAGAACGTGCACGAGAACGTGCACGAGAACGTGCACGAGAACGTGCACGAGAACGTGCACGAGAACGTGCACGAGAACGTGCACGAGAACGTGCATGAGAACGTGCACGAGAACGTGCACGAGAACGTGCACGAGAACGTGCATGAGAACGTGCATGAGAACGTGCATGAGAACGTGCATGAGAACGTGCATGAGAACGTGCATGAGAACGTGCATGAGAACGTGCATGAGAACGTGCATGAGAACGTGCATGAGAACGTGCATGAGAACGTGCATGAGAACGTGCATGAGAACGTGCATGAGAACGTGCATGAGAACGTGCACGAGAACGTGCACGAGAACGTGCACGAGAACGTGCACGAGAACGTGCACGAGAACGTGCACGAGAACGTGCACGAGAACGTGCACGAGAACGTGCATGAGAACGTGCATGAGAACGTGCATGAGAACGTGCATGAGAACGTGCATGAGAACGTGCACGAGAACGTGCACGAGAACGTGCACGAGAACGTGCACGAGAACGTGCACGAGAACGTGCATGAGAACGTGCACGAGAACGTGCACGAGAACGTGCACGAGAACGTGCATGAGAACGTGCATGAGAACGTGCACGAGAACGTGCATGAGAACGTGCACGAGAACGTGCACGAGAACGTGCACGAGAACGTGCATGAGAACGTGCATGAGAACGTGCATGAGAACGTGCACGAGAACGTGCACGAGAACGTGCACGAGAACGTGCACGAGAACGTGCACGAGAACGTGCACGAGAACGTGCACGAGAACGTGCACGAGAACGTGCACGAGAACGTGCACGAGAACGTGCATGAGAACGTGCACGAGAACGTGCATGAGAACGTGCATGAGAACGTGCATGAGAACGTGCATGAGAACGTGCATGAGAACGTGCATGAGAACGTGCATGAGAACGTGCATGAGAACGTGCATGAGAACGTGCATGAGAACGTGCATGAGAACGTGCATGAGAACGTGCATGAGAACGTGCATGAGAACGTGCATGAGAACGTGCATGAGAACGTGCATGAGAACGTGCATGAGAACGTGCATGAGAACGTGCATGAGAACGTGCATGAGAACGTGCATGAGAACGTGCACGAGAACGTGCAGGAGAACGTGCAGGAGAACGTGCACGAGAACGTGCACGAGAACGTGCACGAGAACGTGCACGAGAACGTGCACGAGAACGTGCACGAGAACGTGCACGAGAACGTGCATGAGAACGTGCACGAGAACGTGCACGAGAACGTGCACGAGAACGTGCACGAGAACGTGCACGAGAACGTGCACGAGAACGTGCACGAGAACGTGCACGAGAACGTGCATGAGAACGTGCATGAGAACGTGCATGAGAACGTGCATGAGAACGTGCATGAGAACGTGCATGAGAACGTGCACGAGAACGTGCACGAGAACGTGCACGAGAACGTGCACGAGAACGTGCATGAGAACGTGCATGAGAACGTGCATGAGAACGTGCACGAGAACGTGCACGAGAACGTGCATGAGAACGTGCATGAGAACGTGCACGAGAACGTGCATGAGAACGTGCACGAGAACGTGCACGAGAACGTGCACGAGAACGTGCACGAGAACGTGCATGAGAACGTGCATGAGAACGTGCACGAGAACGTGCACGAGAACGTGCACGAGAACGTGCACGAGAACGTGCATGAGAACGTGCATGAGAACGTGCATGAGAACGTGCACGAGAACGTGCACGAGAACGTGCACGAGAACGTGCACGAGAACGTGCACGAGAACGTGCACGAGAACGTGCACGAGAACGTGCACGAGAACGTGCACGAGAACGTGCATGAGAACGTGCATGAGAACGTGCATGAGAACGTGCATGAGAACGTGCATGAGAACGTGCATGAGAACGTGCATGAGAACGTGCATGAGAACGTGCATGAGAACGTGCACGAGAACGTGCACGAGAACGTGCACGAGAACGTGCACGAGAACGTGCACGAGAACGTGCACGAGAACGTGCACGAGAACGTGCACGAGAACGTGCATGAGAACGTGCATGAGAACGTGCATGAGAACGTGCATGAGAACGTGCATGAGAACGTGCATGAGAACGTGCATGAGAACGTGCATGAGAACGTGCATGAGAACGTGCATGAGAACGTGCATGAGAACGTGCATGAGAACTTGCATGAGAACTTGCATGAGAACTTGCATGAGAACTTGCATGAGAACTTGCATGAGAACTTGCATGAGAACTTGCATGAGAACTTGCATGAGAACTTGCATGAGAACTTGCATGAGAACTTGCATGAGAACGTGCACGAGAACGTGCATGAGAACTTGCACGAGAACTTGCACGAGAACGTGCACGAGAACGTGCACGAGAACGTGCACGAGAACGTGCATGAGAACGTGCATGAGAACGTGCATGAGAACGTGCACGAGAACGTGCATGAGAACGTGCATGAGAACGTGCACGAGAACGTGCATGAGAACGTGCATGAGAACGTGCATGAGAACTTGCATGAGAACTTGCATGAGAACTTGCATGAGAACTTGCATGAGAACTTGCATGAGAACTTGCATGAGAACTTGCATGAGAACTTGCATGAGAACTTGCATGAGAACTTGCATGAGAACTTGCATGAGAACTTGCATGAGAACTTGCATGAGAACTTGCATGAGAACTTGCATGAGAACTTGCATGAGAACTTGCATGAGAACTTGCATGAGAACTTGCATGAGAACTTGCATGAGAACTGTGAGAAGCGCTGCATGCATGCATGAGAAGTGCTCATGCAATCTCTTCCCCCAAGCTGATGTATGAGATTGCATGAGCAGTGAGCAGCCCTTTCAGCGACGTGGCGACCAGAGAGAGAGACAACTGCGCGGCGACCGCTTGAGCAGTCTCACTCACTTGAGCGGGTGGAAGTCAGCGGCGTTGGGGAAGCGGAGAGCAGAGGAGAGCGAGCCGAGGGCAGGGTCGCCTTGCAGGTCCACCACAGAGGTGTCCGACAGGCCGATGCGCTCACACGCTGCCAGCTCCTGGTGAATTAGGGAGTTAGGGAGTTGGAGGAAGGAGCGGGGTCATTAGAGGAGGCGATGAAGGCTGTTTTTTTTTGTTCTTTCTCCCTGGACCATGAGGCAGATGTGCTGATGGGCCAGCCAACCACCCACTCATCAACTGCATGCAGCCATGCGCCCTGCCCACCCACCCACCCGTCCACCCACCCACCTCCAGCATATTGCGGTTCGCCTCATCGGAGTTGTCATGCGGGAAGAGGTATCCATCCACTCGCTCAAACTCGCACTCGATGCCGTGCTCCCGCACCACACGCTCCACCCAATCAATGGCGGCCACGTGGCTCCTGCCCACCAGCGCCGCCCGGCGCCGCCCGAAGAGGCGCTCGAGCACGCTGTAGTAGTCGTCGTTCCACGGCATGAGATGTGCTGTGGTGCGCCCTGTCTGGCCTGAACCTGCAAGTGAAGGGGAGCAGAGGCGTGTGGGACAAGGAAGGGGGTGAAGCTGGCGCAGGCATGAAGAGTAGAAAGACGGGCCACACACATGCAAGTAGTCAGGCCAAATTTTGCACGGGATGCGCTAGGACTGACCCAAACCTGCACAAGCGCAGTGTGGCGCAGAGGAGGGCGGGTGGTGCAGCAACAAGAGAGGCGTGGTAGAGGAGCAAAAGCTAAAAGTGACGCACCAATGGCCCGTGCCTCCAGCACCACCACTGACAGGTCCTTGCCTCCTCCTCCCCCGCCCCTGGCCTTGCGGTGTTTATCCAGCAGCGCGTACGCCACGCTCAGCCCGTTGATGCCGCCACCCACCACCGCCACGTCTACAGTCACGTGTTCCTGTAACGGGGGGTACTGTGGCGCCACGCCCTCCTGCCCCCACACCGTGCGCCGCAGCCCCGTCACAGCTGGCGCGCTGGAGGATTGGAGCTGACGAGGCGGCGGGCCATTGGGCGGCTGCTGCTGCTCCTTCTGCTGCTCCTCCTGTTGCTGAATCTCCTGCTGCTGCTGCTGGCTCTCCTTTTTCACATCAGAGGGAGCGCCGCCAGCAGCAGACTCCCTAGCGCCCACTGCAGCTGACACCGCCCCCTTACTGCCCTCCCCTTTCCCCTCCTCCTCATCCCCCACGTTCTCCTCCTCCATCCTCGCAGCAGCAGCCGTGGCGGCGTACACGCTAGCAGCCTGAGCCGCAGCCTCGCCCGCCATCTCAGCTGCCAGCTCAGCCGCTGCTGCTGACGCCTCCGCCATGTCATCAGAAGCATCATCCACGTCAGATTGAGGCGTGTAATCCTCACTGCGTGCCACGTCAGCAGTTTCTTTGGCACTGTTGTCATCAGAAGCGGACGCACGCCGCCATCCCCTCAGCCAGCCCCCCCGCCCATGCATGCGCGCCGTTAACGCGTACGAGCGACGTGTTGCACGGTCCACGGGGAGGGGACGCGCGGAAGAGGGGAGCGCGCATGCGGCGGGGGTGCGCGCACGGGCGGCGGGGAGTGGCTGGGCCACAGACGGCACGCAGCCGCGGGTGGCGGTGAGAGGGGCCGATAGCAGCGCCATGGGTCACGATGAAGTGCGTTTCACGGCGTTATTCACGGCGGGGCGAGAGCAGGTTGAGGGGAAGGAGGGGCGAATTCGAGACAATGACGCGGAGGAGGGGCGAATTCGAGAAATTCACGAGAAGCTGGAGCAACGGAGCAGAGCGAGAAGCCGAGAAAAAAGAGGAGAACGGCGACGACGGTTGGTGGTCGATCGGGCAAGGCATGAGAAGAGGGCGAGGCACGAGAGGAGAGCGCGGCACGAGAGGAGAGCGCGGCACGAGAGGAGAGCGAGGCACGAGAGGAGAGCGCGGCACGAGAGGAGAGCGCGGCACGAGAGGGCGAGGGGAGCGAGAGGTACGGTCGATGGTGACGAGGAGGAGAAGGTGGGGCGGGGCGCGAGGAAGGGAATTTAGCGGCCATTGCTGGGCGGAGGAGATCAGGACTCGCGAGTCGCGCAGGGGCGAAGCGCGTCGATCGTTGCATGGTTGAAATGTCGTGAGAATACCACGTGTTGGCATACCCATGGGCCTGGGAGTGATCGAAGGTGGGGACAGCAAAATCCATTATCGTATAATGTTTTTGCTAACCTCTTAACAGCCGATTTAGCTCAGTGGTAGAGCGCGTGGCTTTTAACCACGTGGCCGTGGGTTCGATCCCCACAATCGGCGTGTGGCATCTTGCCTTTTGGCCCCTTCCCCTATTTCACTTTCACGTTTGTTTTTCACAGTTGCCCTTTTTTTGCGCCCCATATCCGCCTCACCGCGCAGAGGTCGAATACCATCTCTCTACTCCGCCGCGCTTCAAAACCCTCCACTTCACCAAACCCTGCGCCCGCACTCGTTCCCGCTCCCCACCGCTGTTTCCCCCCCTGGTCGCTCTTTCCGCCCATCGCCCATAAGCGTAGACGTCCGCGCAAGAAGGAGGATCGGCGCGACGAGGGGCCGGGGGACGGAGGGGGGAGGAGGAGGGCCAAATTGAGCGCCGGTCGCATTCGGGATTCAAACGAGAGAGGCGGCAATGGAATCCGTGTGCTTATGACGGGGGGCTGCAATGGGGGGCGCGTATTAGGGTGACACGTGGCAGCGTTGCGATAGCATGGGGCGGCATGGCAGAAAGAAGCGCAAGGGAGGGGGTGAATGGGGGAAAGGCGCGGGGGAGGCGGTGGGCGGACGGGGTGGCGGAAGAGGCGAGTGGGGAAGGGGAGGGGGGGGTGAAGCAGGGGAGGGGGCGGGGGTTGGGGGAGGGGCGGAACGGGAGAGCGGCCTGGGGGGAGGTGCGCGGGGTAGGAGCGGGGTAGATGGGGGAAGAGAGGGGGGGTGGGGTAGAGAAGAAGGATGGGGAAGAGGGGAGGGCATGGAGGGAAGGGGGAGAGGCGGCAGGTGGGAGCATGGTGGCAGGGGCTGGGGGGGAGGCGGAAGGAGAGGCGGAGGTCGAGGAAAGGGAGGAGGCGGAGGTAGGAGCGGCAGTTTTGCTGGTGCTGCTGCTGCTGCTGCTGCTGCTGGTGGTACCACTAGTGGCGGTGGGGAGGACAAGGCAGAAATCACCTGCCTTCCACTCGGTCAGTCACCCAGCGCCCACAGCAAGCCTTCACTTCCCCTTTCCGCTCTTTTGAACCCCACTGCAAGCGTTTTTCTCTGCTTTGCGCTCTCCTGCCCTCAATCAACCCACCGCTACAGCACCGTTGTTCCTCCGTGTGCCCCCCCTTGTGTTGCGTGTGCCTGTGTTTCTGCATTGTGCCACCAGGCGCGGGGCAGGACGTGGGGAAAAGCTGTGTGGTGGTGCGCGTGGGGGGCAGACTCATGTGCTCCCTTCCGTCCCTGCACCATCATTCTTCCTCCCTGCATTCCATGCGTCCATTGGTTGTTGCCAATGTGCCATCAGGAGCGGGGCAGGACGTGGGAAAGAGCTGCGTGGTGGTGCGCGTGGGGGGTCTCATGTGTTCCCTTCCCTCCCTGCAATGCACCATCTTTCTTCCTCCCTGCAATGCACCATCTTTCTTCCTCCCTACATCCCATTCGTCCATTGCTCATTCCGCACTGTGTCGCCAGGAGCGGGGCAGGACGTGGGGAAGAGCTGTGTGGTGGTGCGGGTGGGAGGTAGAGTGGTCATGTTCGACTGCGGTATGCACATGGGCTATCAGGACGCGCGCCGCTTCCCCGCCTTCCCCCGCCTGCGCGCCTTCAGCCACGGGCAGCACCCTCAGGGGCAGAGGCAGGAAGGGGAGCACGTGGACTACACGGGCATCATTGACTGCGTCATCGTCACCCACTTGTGCGCTCCTCTTCTCCTCCTTCTCGCTTCATGGTCATGGGCTGGGGTCTGGGGTTGGGCAAGGGCGGGGCAGTGCGGTGGACTACACGGGGATCATTGACTGCGTCATCGTCACCCACTTGTGCGCACCTCCCTTCCCTCTCCCGCCTTGCCCCTTTCCATGCTTCTATGATCTCCTAGCGCCTTCCGTTCTTCCCCTCATCACTGCCAGCATTCATCCCTCCTGCAGCATCACCCACGCCTCTCACACTTTCCTTCGGTCTGGCTCGCTCGCCCTCCCCTCCCGTGCACCCAAGCGATCTTCTTCCAAAGTTACTTTTGAGATCGTTCAAAAGTGGCTCCCGTGGGGCTCACAACCGCCCGGTACCACACCAATCCCAGCCCCACACCCCCCATGCACCTCCTCTGCATGCAGCCATTTGGACCACTGTGGAGCGCTGCCCTATTTCACGCAAGTCTGCGGCTACCAGGGCCCCGTCTACATGACTGTCAGTGCCTTGCCTCCCGCTCTGCTACGAGTTTGTTTCAGATGTTTTGTGCTGACAGTTTTCAGTCGTTGCGAGTGCCATTGTCGTGCCTGTTTTGAGCTGATGCATGCCTTGACTGTCAGATGCATTGTCTCCCGCTCTGACAATGATTTTGTTCAGGCGCCTCATTTTCACGGTGCTAGTTCTCTAGACAAGTAGTGCTCACCACGCGTTGCATCACCTAAAAGAAACGACCGAGCACTGCTTGTCTGAGCGGACGCATACCGATGCTCGGCATGCCAACAATCCAGAATGAAACGACAGAACAGAATCAAAGCGGGGCCTTGGGGGGTGATGGGAGCTGTTTCGTCCCCTTCACACTCAATCACCTCCTATGCAGCATTTCCCGCCTGCTCCTCCTCCCCAGTACCCCACCAAGGCGCTGGCCCCGCTGATGCTGGAGGAGTATCGGCGCGTGGCACTGGAGCACAGGGACTGCTGCTGACTGTAATGCCTGCCCCATTGCCTCCCTCACTCTGTCCCACCTGTTGCAACCGGGTCCCCACTCCACAGTACCCCACCAAGGCCCTCGCCCCGCTGATGCTGGAGGACTATCGGCGCGTGGCGGTGGAGCGGAGGTGCTGCTGCGGGCGCTCCCATTCCTCCCCCCCACTCTCTCATGTGTCCTTGCACCTCTTTCACCACTCCCCACTCCCCAGTACCCCACCAAGGCGCTGGCCCCTCTGATGCTGGAGGACTATCGGCGCGTGGCGGTGGAGCGCAGGGGCGAGGGCGAGGAGGGGCTGTTCTCCAGTGCGGATATCACTGCGGCCGTGGGCCGAGGTGAGGGGGAGGAGAAGGCAGGAGGCAGGGGATGCGGGGGGGCAGTGAGGGGCAGGTGCGGGTCCGTGAAGGGAGGTGGCCGTTGGGCGAGGTCAGGTGAGAGGGGGGAGAGCAGGGTGTGATAGGAGGTGTGGTGGGTGAGGGGGTTCATCTCTCACCAGCCATCAATAACGACACGATCACATCCCGCATCTCCCCTTGGATCGGGATTAGTGGTAATCTCGTCCTACGTGCTCCCCTCCCGTGTGCTCTCTGTCCACACTGTGCAGCGATCCCGGTGGACATCCACCAGAGCATTCAAGTGAACGAGCACATCACCATCACCCCCTACTATGCCGGCCATGTCAGTGCACTCATGGGCCATGGCGTGGCATGGCATGGCCCGGGATGGAATGGCATGGCATGTGGCATGGCATGGCATGGTGTGGCGTGGCATGGATGGCATGTGGTGCTATGTGCATGAGTGTGTGGGTGCATGTAACCATGAGTATACATGTGTGGCAGCATATGCTGTGCCATTGCTGCCATTGCTGCCATTGCTGCCATGCGACACGGCACATAACTTCCACCCCCCTGCACACCGCCCTGCCGTGCCTGGCACCAGGTGCTGGGAGCAGCAATGTTCCACGTGCAAGCGAGCAATGGGGCGTCAGTGCTTTACACTGGTGAGAGCATGGCATCATGGCATTATGGCAGCACAGCATCCTGGCAGCAAGGTTCCTTCGGCCTTGCATGCACTTGTTTCAGTTCAACTCGTCTGCTCAAGCGGTTCCAACATCAGGTGGTTCCAGCATCAGGTGGTTCCAACATCAGGTGGTTCCAACATCAGGTGATTCCAACATCAGGTGGTTCCAACATCAGGTGGTTCCAACACGAGGTGGTGATGTGCACAAACTCACGCACAGCGTTTCAGAAGTCCTTGCTTGTTGTTCTCAGGTGATTTTAACATAGCATCCCTCAGGTGATTTCTACATGGCATCCCTCAGGTGATTTCAACATGGCACCTGACAGGCACCTGGGAGCAGCCAGGGTGGATCCGCGCCTTCGACCCGACCTCATGATCTCCGAGTGAGCACCCCAGCGCCATGCCACAATGCCATGCCATGCCTTGCCATGCCATGCCGTGCCATGCCATGCCGTGCCATGAAGTGCCGTGCCATGCCATGCCATGCGAGCATCATCCTTCCTCCTGCACTGTGCTGCCTTGCCTGTAGTTCAACATGCTTCCCCCAGTCAATTAGAAAGACAAACACAATCCAATTCCCCCACTCCTTTCCCGCCCTCCCAACCCCCACCAGATCTACCTACGCCACGACCATCCGCGAGTCCCGGCGCAGTCGAGAAGCAGACTTCCTGTCGCGCGTGCACACATGCGTGGCAGCAGGGGGCAAGGTGCTCATCCCGGTGTTTGCTATGGGGCGAGCGCAGGAGCTGTGTGTGCTGCTGGACGAGTACTGGCACCGCATGGGGCTGGATGTACCCATCTACCTTAGTGCTGGTATGTACCCATCTACCTCAGTGCTGGTATGTACCCATCTACCTCAGTGCTGGTATGTATGCGTGCCACAGGTGGGGGGTGTGAGTGGCACTGGCAGGGAGGCAGGTGCTCATTCCAGTGTATGTTTGCCATGGGGCGAGTGCAGGAGCTGTGTGTGTTGCTGGACGAGTACTGACACCGTATGGGCCTTGAAGTGCATATCTACCTCAGCGCTGGTAAATGCGTGTCGCAATTGAGCTACACACTTGACAGAAGCCATGCTCGTGTCAGTGCGAGCCCTCCCCTGGCCTGCCTTTTCCCCTCTCTCCTCCTCCTCACCCTCTCTCACCCTCCCCGTCGATCCCTCTCCTCCACACTCACTCCCCCTCCCCTCCACACTCACTCCCCCTCCCCTCCGCACTCACTCCCTCTCTCCTCCTCCCAGGCCTCACCTCCCAGGCCACGGTGTTCTACAAGACTTTGCTGACGTGGACCAATCAGCACATCCAATCAGCACATGCCAACCGCAACATCTTTGACTTTCGACATGGTACTTACATGCCATGACCCATGGACCATGGTACATGCATGCCATGACCCATGGTACATGCATACCATGACCCATGGACCATGGTATATGCATGCCATGACCCATGGTACATGCATGCCATGACCCATGGTACATGCATGCCATGACCCATGGTACATGCATGCCATGACTCATGGTACATGCATGCCATGACCCATGGTACATGCATACCATGACCCATGGACCATGGTATATGCATGCCATGACCCATGGTACATGCATGCCATGACCCATGGTACATGCATGCCATGACCCATGGTACTTGCATGCCATGACTCATGGTACATGCATGCCATGACCCATGGTACATGCATGCCATGACCCATGGTACATGCATACCATGACCCATGGTACATGCATGCCATGACTCATGGTACATGCATGCCTCTACGCCATGCCATGCCAAGTCCTGTCATGCAATGCCGTGCGATGCAGGGGGTTGCATGCCGCCATGGGATGGTATACCCGTCGGTCTTGTCATTGCAAACATCGCTATAACAGGGGACCATAATGCGTGGATTTCGCTGCACTCTCCAGCACGGGATGAAACATTGTGCATACACCTGCTTTTTACGTCGTCCATAACACCCCATTTCCTCCTCCTCCTCCTCCTCCTTCCTCCCCTCTGCCCGCTCTTGCTTTCTCCCCCCCCCCCCCCCCCCCCCTCTTTAACTCCCAGTGCGGCCATTCGACCGGGCCCTACTGGACGCCCCGGCGCCCATGGTGTTGTTTGCCACGCCCGGCATGCTCTCAGGGGGGCTCTCCCTGCAGGCCTTCAAGGCCTGGGCGCCCCACCCCTGCAACCTGCTCGTGCTGCCCGGGTGAGTGGGTGTGCATGGCTGGGGTGTATCCACTTTATCCGGGGTGAGAGGATATCCCAGAGATGGGAGAGGATATCCGGGAGATGATATCTTGGAGATCATACCTGGGAGATGATATCCGGGATATGATACCCAAGAGATGATATCTTGGAGATTTTTACCTGGGAGATGAGTCCATTCAGAAACTTCAATGGCGAGCTCTGCCTTCTCGAGCCCACCGGGCCGCTGCAAGTGAATCCGTCCCACTCACCTTTTAAAACCCCTGCTTCTCTCTCGACTCAACCCAGTCTCACAGCAGCACTCACTTGGCAATGCCCTTGGTCACGCCAGATACGTGCAGAGTGGAGATGCGGGCGCCCTTGGGCCAGCGAGGAAGTAAGGCCCTGTGCCTCCTGCTACAAGGAATAGAGCCTGTCGAATCCACTCTCCAGAACCTTCTTTGCTCTCGCTACTCGACCGCATCCGCCCCACACTAACTTGGCAATGCCGCCCTTAGCCACGCCATACACGTGCAGAGTGGAGATGGGGGCACCCTTCGACCACCGAAGCAAGGCCGTCTGCCCCATGCTAGATCCAATTTCAATAAACCCATTTCACTTTCTCAACTCTTCTTACCCTCTTGCTCCTCTCTCCCTCCCTCCTGCCGCCCGCGGGTCACCCTCTGCCGCCCAGGTTCTGCATGGCCGGCACAGTGGGCGGCAAGATCATGGCCATGGCCTCCGCCAATGCCTTTCTTCCTCCCTCCTGCTGCCCGCGTCTCCCCTTCTCCCTCCCAGGTTCTGCATGGCGGGCACGGTGGGCGGCAAGATCATGGCCATGGCCTCCGCCAATGCCGCCGCTGCTGGTGGTGGTGGGGGGGGTGAGGGTGGTGGGGATGGTGGAAGAGAAGGGGGAGGGGGAGGCGGAGGGAGGGTAGCCGTCGACCAGAGCACGCAAGTGGTGGTCAACTGTCAGGTGTGTTGTCAGGAGATACCAGCAGAGAAACTGATCCAGTAGGCTTATCATGAGTCTGACACCTTGACTCGGGGTTGCAGGCATTGGGGGCCCTTTTTCGTGCATATCAGAATGAAATCCGCATTGCAAGCACTGCACTCTCACCCAGGAATTCCACTGGAAACACACCCTTTTAGTTGACGCTATTCTCCATGATTACTCCCCCTCTGCGGCAGGTGCATGTGCTCTCATTCTCCCCACACACTGATGCGAAGGGCATCACCGACCTTATCCGCCACCTGGCGCCGCGCCACGTCATCCTGGTGCATGGCGAGCGTGCGAAGATGGCGCAGCTACGGGACAAAATTGCCGACCAGATGGGTATCCCCTGCTTCACACCGGCCAATCACGAGACAGTTAGGGTGCCTGCGACGGTCACTCAAAATGTTACTGCTCCACCTGCAATGGTGGTTGCTGATGGCTTGACAGGGAATGGCACAATGGGGTGTGGAGGGGAGGAAGAGTTAGAGGAAGGAGATAAGGTGGGAGGAGAAAGATGGATTGATTGAGGGGAGACCAGGAAGAGCAGAGGAGGAAGGGGAAGAGGGGGAAGATGGAGAGATAGAATATAGTGTTAAAGGAGAAGACGTGGAGTTGTGAGGAGAGGAAAGTTGAGGCAGAAAGGATGGGAAGGAATCTGTATAGGAGTTGGGGTGGGCTTGGAAGCCAACTGTGAGACGACTGATAAGGTGTTTGATTCCATTCTGTTGTTCCCCTTGTTATCGTTACCATTTCATGGTTCTTAGTGTGTGATTTTCCGTCTATCAAGCATTGGGAGTATGATAAGTTCGATATATCAGCGGTGTACCATTTGGTCCAGAGAACCTTGAGATACTATCTTGGGCTCCTGCGTGGCGGGGTGGTCCCTGTCAATCTTCCTCGCGACCGCATCAGCGTGACATGGCCCTCCGTCCTCCCCTCGTCCACGTCATTTCGGCGTCCCTCCTCCGTCATGTCGAATCTCCCTTCTGTCGACAAACCCAAGGCCGCCTCCTCAGCCGCAGACAGTCTAGCCGCCCGAATCCTCATGTGATTCTACCACAACCATTTCCCCTACACTATTTTGTTCTCATTTCAGCACCTATTCCCTGTTAGCTTCGCCATACCTCTTCCATCTGTGTCGTTGTGCAGTAGCCTAACACGCCGCGGGCTGCCTCGCTCTTCCCTTTTGTCTCTTTTAGACTCTCGTTGCGCGTGTTACCTTTTGGTCTACTTCAGAACCTTCGCGTATCTTGCGCGTCCTTCACGTCGTTCTTACCCCGGGCCCACCAGCGTTCCTCGACACGCTGGCTGCGGGCCATGTATTCCCGTTTAGCCTGCAGAGCAGCACGCAGGCGAGGGTTGCCGTTCGTCGACACATTTTTTAGGGTTTCGTCTCCTCCGAGCCTCGTAGATAGCATCACCACCTGCTGCCATACACAACCGCCGCAGATCGCTGCGAATCTAGCCGGATCTTCCTGGTTCGGCGCGCAGCGGTGGTATTCGTCGGATCGCGGCGGCGATGGCGGCCGCGAGGAGAATGACGTGGTGATCATCGGCGGAGGGCCCGGCGGTTACGCGGCGGCGATCCGCGCGGCGCAAGTGGGGCTGAAGGTGACGTGCGTTGACAAACGCGGGCGGCTCGGAGGCACGTGCTTCAACGTCGGATGCATCCCCTCTAAGGTGTGTCTCGGTGTTGGTTGTGAGTGCCTTGAGAACGGCTGAAGGGTTTTTTGTGCGGGGAGCGTTGACCAACGTCGATTACGTGAGTGCTCGCACATACTTCAACACATCTGCTCACACGCGATTCAACACACGTAAAGAATCTGTTAGAAGAAACCGTCGGCTCCCCCCACACCCCCCTCGGCCTAACCCATTGATGCCTCCAAACTCGCACCTCGACCCCCCCTTCCCCCTCTCCCCCCCTTCCCTCCAGTCCTTGCTGGAGTCATCGCGCAAGTTTTACGAAGCGAAGCACTCTCTAGCGCAGCACGGCGTGCGGGTGGACGGCGTGTCAGTAGATCTGGCGGCGATGATGGCGCTCAAGACGGACGCCATAGAATCCCTCACGTCGGGCGTCGAGCGCATGTTCGAGCAGCACCGCGTTAACTACGTCAAGGGCGCGGGCCGCATCACAGGCACGCACGAGGTCACCGTGAGCCTCCTAGACGCGGGCGGGCAGGTCGGGCAGGCGAAAAAAGTCCTCTCGGCGAAGAATATCATCATCGCGACGGGATCAGACATTCGGCAGGTGCCCGGGGTCCCGATCGACGAGAAAAAAATCGTTTCGTCGACCGGCGCTATGTGCCTTGAGAAGGTTCCGGAGAAGATGCTGGTGGTGGGCGGCGGGGTGATCGGACTCGAAATGGGGTCCGTATGGAGTCGCCTGGGCGCGGACGTGACTATACTGGAATTCGCGGATGGCATTGGCGGGTACATGGACAACGAGATTCGGCAGGCGTATCACCGCATTCTCGAATCCCAGGGGTTGAAATTCCTCCTGGGGACGAAGGTGGTGCGCGGGGACGCGTCAGGAGAAGGCGTGGTGCTGCAGGTAGCGCCAGCGAAAGGGGAGGGCGAGACGCGGGAGGTTCACGCTGACGTGGTGATGGTGGCGGCAGGGCGCGTGCCTTGCACGAACGGGCTAGGGTTAGACGAGGTGGGCGTGAAACGAGACATGAACGGGCGGATATTCGTGGATAGTCATTTCAGGAGCACGCGGCCTACTGTGTATGCCATAGGGGATGTGATTCCAGGACCCATGCTTGCGCATAAGGCAGAGGAGGATGCGATCGCGTGTATGGAAAACATCATGAACGGGCACGGGCAGGTGAATTATGCGACGGTGCCCGGGATTATTTACACGCACCCGGAAGTGGCGATGCTGGGTATGACCGAGGAGGAGCTGCAGGCGACGGGGATGGAGTATACTGTGGGTAAATTCCCCTTTAAAGCGAACAGCCGGGCGCGGGCGATGGGGGAGGTGGAGGGGTTTGTGAAAATTCTGGCGGATAAGGAGACGGATTTGGTGCTGGGGGCGCATATACTGGGGCCGAGCGCGGGAGAACTGATCATGGAGTGTGTTCTGGCCATGGAGCATGGGGCGACCACGCTGGATCTAGCTCGCACATGCCATGCTCACCCCACGCTCACAGAGGCTGTCAAAGAGGCCGCTTTGGCTGCCCATGGCAAACCCATTCACTCGTGAGGGAGCAGTGGAATGGGGGGGAGAGGATGGGGATGGTGGGGTGAGGGGTGCGGGTGTGGGGGGTCAGGGGTATTCAGGGATGAAAAGGGGTTGGAGGTGGGTGCAGCGGGGAGGGTGGGTTGGGGAGACAGGAAGAGTGGTGTGGGTGGAGTGAGAGTGGGGAGAAGCGGATTGGAGGTGACGCGTGCATGCATTGGAGCAGGGGTGGATAACCTCCCTGACAGATGCTTGACATGGGTGATGTTGCAGCACCCATTGGCCAGATCGTAGCGTAGCGTGCTGTAGGAAATCATTGACATGTGAACAAGGTCTGGGAAAGCATTGGAATGAGATGAAGTTTCTGGAGTGGGTAGGAGTGGCAGAAAGGCTTGCATGCCGTAGGGGAGATTGCTTTGTTTGGAGGAATGACAAGGTGAAAAGAAGGACTGGTTGGGCACTTGGGTGCAGGCCTCACGTTTTCAGAGTAAATTACTCTGTTTCTCTGAAAATCAGAGTCATTTTTTAAAGTAACTCTGTACCCGCTGGGTAATTTTTTTGGGACTTCCGATTTCTCTGATTTGTCAGAGTTATGCTGTAGTTTACTCTGAGGCCTCTGGGTTTTTTTTTCGGGGACCGAATTTACTCTGTATAGGGAATACCTGCCGGCCCCCCCTCCCCCGCCCCCCTCCCCTCCCCACCTCCCCCTGCGTTAAGCGGGTTTTCCCCGAATCGTCGAGATCATTCTCCTGATTTCTGTCGTGTGTTGGCGGCAATATGAGCAGAGCACTGATTGGCTACCGTAGTTTGACAACTTTCCCAACCAGCGCACGATGCCAGCCAGTCCCCTCTCTCTTTATGTCTGAAGTGAACGTCGAGTTTCCCGACGAAACTTTGAGGGACGTCGAGGAATCCTGACGGTCGGAACGCTCAATCCGAGGGTTGAGATTCGCCAGCATTCCCCGACGAAACTGTACATCCTGTCAAATGTTGAACATTGATATGATAGGCTATAATGAGTTGCACTCTAGGGGGTACAGCTTCTAGGGTTGCTCATTTGTACCCCATTCGTTTCTATTCCAACATTCCGTTGTTCGCTAACTTTGAGATGGTATCATGAGTAGGTGTCGATCCTCTCGCATAGCCTAGCCTAGCTCGCGCCCTAGCGCCCTCCGCGCCTTTGCGCCCTAGCACACTCCGCGCCCTCCGCGCCCTCCGCGCCCTTGCGCCCTAGCACCCTCCGCGCCCTCCGCGCCCTCCGCGCCCTCCGCGCCTTAGCCACCGCGCCCTCCGCGCCATTTCCGCGCCTTAGCGCCCTCCTCCTCCGCGCGTTAGCGCCCTCCGCGCCCCTAGCCTGCGCCCCTAGCCCGTCGCCCAGGCCCACGCCCTAGCCCGTCGCCCAGGCGCCCGCCCTAGCCCGTCGCCCAGGCGCCCGCCCTAGCCCGTCGCCCAGGCGCCCGCCCTAGCTCGTCGCCCAGGCGCCCGCCCTAGCCCGTCGCCCAGGCGCCCGCCCTAGCCCGTCGCCCAGGCGCCCGCCCCAGCCCGTCGCCCAGGCGCCCGCCCTAGCCCGTCGCCCAGGCGCCCGCCCCAGCCCGTCGCCCAGGCGCCCGCCCCAGCCCGTCGCCCAGGCGCCCGCCCTAGCCCGTCGCCCAGGCGCCCGCCCTAGCCCGTCGCCCAGGCGCCCACCCCAGCCCGTCCCCCAGGCGCCCGACCCAGCCCGTCGCCCAGGCGCCCGCCCTAGCCCGTCGCCCAGGCGCCCGCCCTAGCCCGTCGCCCAGGCCTGCGCCCTAGCCCGTCGCCCAGGCGCCCGTCCTAGCCCGTCGCCCAGGCCTGCGCCCTAGCCCGTCGCCCAGGCGCCCGTCCTAGCCCGTCGCCCAGGCGCCCGTCCTAGCCCGTCGCCCAGGCGCCCTCCCTGGCTCGTCACCCCAGCCCCGCAGGCAGCGCGCCACGCGGGTAGCGCGCCCCGCGGGTAGCGCGCCCCGCAGGCAGCACACCCTGCAGGCGGCGCGCCCCGGGGTGCTTTAGTGCCAGAAAATAAATAAATAAATTAAACCCTAAAAAAAAAAAAAAAAAAAAAAAAAGGGGTTCACAGTGGGGGCCTGCTACTGTCGCCCGCGTTCCTGCTGCAGTTCCTGCAGTTGCCTACATCCCGCAGCCGTCAGTACTGCAGCCCCTACTGTCGCACGTACTTTCCACTGCCAGTGGCTCTACTAGCGGCAGCCGACAGCCGCACTTACGGTCTCTAGCCCCGGCCGTTCCTACCTCCAGCCAGCCCTAGCTCGCCGCTTCTAGCTCCAGCCGTTCTCGCTCCAGCCGTTCTCGCTCCTCGCTCGTAGCTCAGTTTGCTCCGTGCTCCGGCCGTTCCTCGCCTAGTTTCACCTGGCGCTCCTAGCTTAGTTCGCTCCGTGCTCCAGCAGTTACTCGCCTGGTTTCACCTGGCGCTCCTAGCTTAGTTCGCTCCGTGCTCCAGCAGTTACTCGCCTGGTTTCACCTTGCGCTCCTAGTTGTTCTCGTTTTTCACAGCAGCCTGTCGCTCCTGTCGCTCCTAGCCTGCCGCTCCTGCACCCCGCTAGCTTTTATCATGGAGTCCGCTAGGGTTCTCCAGCAGCAGGGACAGCAGCAGCGGCCTTTTCAGCAGTGGCTTCCGCAGCGGCAGGGGCGCCCTCAGCAGCTGTGGCGCCCTCAGCAGCCATGGGGGCCTGGTGGTTCAGGTCGCGTTGGCTGCAGCAGCGGCCCAGCCAGCTGGGGGGCTCGTCGCGGTGGCCGCGACGTCGGCCCCTGCCAGTACCGGATCCTGACCGGCCCTGGTGCTGGCACTACCTGCTGGCGTCCTGACCACTCTGCACAGCGCTGCTACAGCCGCCTCGACGACCTTTACCGTGAGCGTTTTGGGCCTGAGTCGGCTCCCCCGATCTGGCCCAGTCTGTTTCGTAGTGGTTTCCCTGTATTTGATATGTCTATGGATGCTGTTTATTCTGTCACGTACGGATCTCTTGGCTTACGTGTACCTAGCTTAGGACCTTTGCCTGTTGCTAGTGTCGGTACTTGTGCTTTTAGTGTAGGTGCTTGTGTAGTCACTAGCCCAGCCGTGACGACTGCTGTTGCGTCGCTCTCCTTCACGCTGGACTCCGGCGCGTCTCAGTGTTTCTTCCGCGACCACACCACTGTCACACCTCTTTCGGCTCCAGTCCCAGTTGCCCTGGCTGATCCTACTTCAGGACCAGCAGTTGCTCGTAGCTCGACCACCCTCCCGTGCCCGGCTGTCCCCTCTGGTTTCCTCACTGGTCTCTACATCCCCTCGTTCTCTCGGAACTTGGTGGGTGTTGGATACCTTCAGGACCGGGGGATCACAGTCACTTTTCCTGCGCACGGGAGGACTGCGATCTGTACGGACTCTTCCACCGGGGCAGTTCTTGCCACGTTCACCAGAGAGCCCCACTCAGGTCTCTTCGTCCTGCACACTCCGCCCCCGCAGGTAGCTGCGTCTGGTCAGGTTGCTTCGTCCCCCCCGGTAGCAGAGTCCGGTCAGGTGGCTGTGTCCAGTCCGGTCGCTGTGTCCAGTCCAGTCGCTGCGTCTTGCTCCTGTCGCTCTCTCGCCCACCGCACCGTCCTGTGGCACCACCGTCTTGGCCACCCGTCGATCCCTCGCCTTCGTGGCATGCTCAGTCAGGGACTAGTCACAGGTCTCCCACGCACCTTCCCATCGCTCCCTCCCTCGCTTGCCCCTCCTTGCTCTCCGTGCGTCGCCGGTCGCTTACGTGCCACTCCCCACTCCTCCTCCCTTCGTCCGGCCACCGCTCCCTTCGAGACTCTCCACTTGGACGTCTGGGGCCCTGCCCCGACGCAGGGGTCTGGGAGGGAGCGCTACTTTCTGGTGGTCGTCGACGACTTCTCCAGGTACACCACAGTGTTTCCTCTTGCGAAGAAGTCCGAGGTGACTGCTACGCTGATCAGGTGGCTTCTAGCCACTGAGGGCACTCGTGGTCGTCGAGTCAGTTGTCTTCACTCCGACCGTGGGGGCGAGTTTCGCTCCGGCATTCTCGGCGGATTCTGCGGCGAACAGGGCATCACCCAGTCCTGGACGCTGCCAGAGTCCCCACAGCAGAATGGGGTTGCTGAGCGCCGCATAGGCTTGGTCATGGACATCGCCCGCACGTCCATGATTCATGCCCGTGCGCCCCATTTTCTGTGGCCTCACGCGGTTCGCTACGCCGCACACCAGCTGAACCTCCAGCCGCGTGTCTCGCGGCCCGAGGCTTCACCGACCAGTCTCTGGACTGGATCCCCTGGTGTTGGGTCGGCCTTTCGAGTCTGGGGCTGCCTTGCACTTGTTCGCGACACCTCCGCGGACAAGCTCTCGGCACGCGCCGTCCCCTGTGTCTTCCTTGGTTTCCCAGTGGACTCTGCTGACTGGTCCTTTTACCACCCTCCCCTCCACCAGTTCCTAGATTCCCGTGACGTCCGGTTTGACGAGTCCGTGTCCTACTACACCCGGTACCCCTGTCGAGGTCTCCCGGTACCCCCTCCCCCTCTCTTCCTCGCACCCTCTCCTCCTCCTGCTCCCGCTCCTCCGGTACCCCCGCCCCCCCCTGGTCCTGCCCCGTCTGGTGTGTCCCACGCTACCCCTCTCCCCTCGGTCGTGCGTCAGGTAGCGTCTCCCTCCCCTCAGTCCTCCTCACAGTCCCCTTAGCAGCCTTCGGCACTTCCGCGACAGGTTACTGTGGACTCGGTTGGTGTTGGAGCTGGAGGTGCAGCCGCTGGCGGTGCTCGGTCGCGGGGTACTGGAGCTGGAGGTGCTGGCGCAGGTGACGCTAGCTCTGGGGGTGCTGGAGCTGGAGGTGCTGGCGCAGGTGGCGCTAGCTCTGGGGGTGCTGGAGCTGGAGGTGCCGGCACTGGAGGTGCTGGTTCTGGGGGTGCTGGAGTTGGGGGTGCTGGCACTAGCGGTGCTAGTTCTGGGGGTGCTGGAGTTGGAGGTCCTAGCACTGGCGGTACTGGTTCTGGGGGTGCTGAGTCTGAGGAGACTGACGCTGGAGACCCTGGTTCTGCGGAGTCCACCCCGCCCCCCCACCGCCACGACACGCGTCTCCAGGCTGCCCGTCGGCGTGAGCGTGAGGAGCAGGAGCGGTTGGAGAGGGAGCGGCAGGAGCTGCGGGTGCTGGACCTTCTGGAGCAGCAGCGGCAGCAGCAGCAGCAGCAGCAGCAGCAGCAGCAGCAGCAGCAGCAGCAGCAGCAGCAGCAGCAGCAGCAGCAGCAGCAGCCGCAGCCGCAGCCGCAGCCGCAGCCGCAGCAGCAGC